CCCAGGGAAGTGGTTGAGTCACCATCGCTGGAGGTATTTAAAAGACGTGTAGATGAGGCGCTTAGGGCCATGGTTTAGGGGGCATGGTGGTGTTGGGTTGACGGTTGGACTCGATGACCTTAGAGGTCTTTTCCAACCTTAATGATTCTATGATTCTATGTCGTCTGTATTTTCCAAAACACACACAGAAGTTCTCCTGTTTGTACATGGTGAGTGGTTGCCTGTGTAATCTGATTGTTGACTAGTAATGCCTCTATTGCAACATACAGTCTCTGAAGCATATTGGTTTTAGGCAACACTCAAGAGAATAGAAAAAGACTATTCCCAAACATTTATCATATTTTATATTCATTGTTAGTTTGACAGCGGTTTTATGAATGGAAAGATTATTAGACTTCAAATTTTGTTAGTGGGTATTTTTGATACTCTCTGTGTTACATAATAAAAAACAAAGGTGTGTACACAAGTCCCTAAAGTTACTCTTTAATGGTATTGATTCTGGAAACTGCTGGAACTGCAGGCGGTTTGGAGAAGTGGAAAAATAACCTTTGTATAGGTTTATAAACTCTCTACTTGTTGTCCTTGTTTTGTTCCACACTTACCTCTGAAAAAAAAAATCACACTTTGCTTTCCCACAGCTCTGATGGTTTATTGTTTCCATGGTCCATTTATCCCTTGGAGCTGTTCGCAAAAAAGGGACTTTGAAAAAATACCTTCTTGTAGACATGCTCAGTTGCTAAGTTAAAATATGACTGAGAATATGAGTAAGAAAATTCTTTCCTTCCTTTTCTAGATAATTCAACATAAAGTTCCCTAAGTTATATGGCACTAAGGAGTTAGCTGAAACCACATACAAAAATGTGTAATGACCTCAAGTCTAATGGCAATGTAAACATTTCTTCAAAACTGAATGCATAGTTAGAAGTGAAAATCAAATTATTTTAAAAAAGCTGAAAGACATAATTTTTTTTAATTTAATTTGAGATAATTTTAATTTCAAACACCAAGCCTTTAAAAATGTCAAATGTTGCTATCAAATCATACACTGATTTTTGTTGGCAGGGCAAAGTTACAGTTAAAATTTGTATCTGTTGCTGTATAATCAAAAATGGCAGAATTGTACTGTGTACCAGTAACTCAAAGTGGGAAATTAAGTGAATTTGTTACCTATATATTTACTAT